AAGCATTACATACATATCGATTTGAAGAAATGCAGAAATGCGGAAACTGCAGAAGTGCGGAATCTGCAGAAATGACGAAAAGCAACCGATACGTATCGATCTGAAATGCAGAAGTGCGGAATCTGAATAAATGCAGAAATGCCGAAATGAAAAATCGACTCGTATTAGATGCTCCTCGTCATTTCTGCAGTTTCCGGCATTTCTGCATTTCTTCAAATCGATATGTATATAATGCTTTTCGTCATTTCCGCAGATTCCGCATTTCTTCATGGTCGCAAGCTATGAACGCGGCCTTAGAAACAGTAACAAAACGATACATCACACTCAGAAAATACGCTTGCTCAAGAAAATATCAAACTAAACAAGGTGAAATAATGCGACCCGCGCTGGCAACGATCCGAGAATGGACTATTCAATTATTGGCTAGAAGTTAGGAAATCCCTAAAATACCAAATAACTAGGATGTTCCATGACTAAGTAGCCGTGCAGCTACAATCCTCTTAAGCTGTCGTACAGTATTGGGAACAGCTAAATTTTAGTGACCTTCTTATATGTGCTCGCGGCTCTGAATGAGAAGCTAGCGGAGTTGGAATTTACTAGGAATAACGTCAATCTAACTGCCACTCAAACTGGTTCAGGTTCACATCCTCATTATGCTTAGGTAGCAGTCTCCTTAGCGGGAGCCGCAGTTCCACAGGAGTCCTTTAAATGCCCTCCAAGACCAATGATGACAGAACTTAAAGAAACTCACCTTCTTCTCATTAGTGAGAAAAACCCGCTGCAAGCAGATAAGATTGGGATGCCTGAACACCTTTTATTTACGACATACATGATGCGAACCTTTTCACAAAACGTTTCAGTGGTACAGTTCTGAAGTAGCTGCAGCAGCTCGAAAGTGACTCACTTCAATTCTCTCAATAAAGCTATCTCCCTGCACGCCGACATTGAAAATCCTTGTCCCTCGATGAGTTTCAGAGCGTACTCCTTAGCCGGATATTTGGCTGAAGGAACTTTGGGCTGTGCTTTGAACACATGCCCATATGTGCCGCGACCTACCTGAAACAATAGGGTTCACAGACCACGTTTGTGAGGAAACAAAGCGAATTCTAACTAACTTTATGCCCATCGTAGTAGAACAGGTCGTCGACATTTTCACGAGATCTGGCCAGTTCTTGTTTAAAAGCATAGTCAATCATCTTTAGCAAGTTGACCTTGTATCGTCATGCTTAAAATGAATTAGAAGCGGCTAGCAATGAAGAAAACTTCAAAGCAAAATTAGGTCTTCAAAGTAAACAATAAAAAACACTCGGAAAAACTATGAGAAACAAACAAGCAGAAGCCGGGCTACGAATACCTCCATGAAAGGATCAAAGGAAAGGCGGCAATTTTGGACGTGACGTATGATGTGTCGTCCGCAGTGAACCAAGCAGTGGATTTGACGTCAAGAGGAGTTTTCTTGATTGTGTTTGCAACTTCGACCTGGAATTAGTGGTCACATACTGACATTTTGTCAGCTGAAATGCTTACGTGGAGAGGGAGAGCGGCTAGCCACGGCTAGTCTCCCGGCTGTTTACGTTTTTCCGTAGCTATGTGTGGGGCAGGAGGGATCATTATATCCATGAAAGACGCGGATGAGCAGCGTTAACCACGACTCTGCGTAGCACTCCTCTCCCAATTACTTTAGCAAAAGAGACAGTTAGAAGCGCCTCAAATAGGACCGTTATTGGTTTCAGCCATTGTGCGAGCATGCGGCGAAGAGACACAGCATACAAAAAAGAAAAAGACGATCAAAGGTCCAATGAGAACGCGAAACCGCTCTACCTTACAGAACTAAAAAGGGTGGAGCCTACTCAGTAGGCGGGGTATGGTCTTTGCAACAGGCTTCTGGCAGCCTCACCACTCCATATTCTCTGCAAAGAAGATATTCTAAACAGTAGAATGTGTATCTAAGCATAGAAAGGCCAAATATATGGTTTTGTCGTCTTCGATGTCATTCGTCTGCGATA